CCTTTTCTCTTCTTTTACTTTCTCTCTCATCCTCTTCTCTCTTTTTTTTTCCCTTCATTTCCCACCCCGCACTCTTGCAGCCTCTTTTTTCTTTTGTTTTTTTTTTCACTCATTTCCCGATTCCAGAAAAAAAAAAATGAAGTTTATGTCTATGTTTTGGTTATCAAAATCGTCTCAACTGCCAGATCCGACCGAGTACGGTGGCAACGGAGAGTGGAGGATGGCGACAAGCAACGGGCTTGGACGCCATTAATGGCGGACGAATCAAAAAAGAAAAAAAAAACTTCGACATAGTTGAAAAGTTGGAATTCATGGTGTCGAGATTTATGGCGTTATTGGGGATTGAAAAATTTGTTGAGAAGGGGAATTGATGGAGTTAATTGGCGTTATTGGGGATTGAAAATTTTGTTGAGAAGAGGAATTCATGGACTTAATTTACCTACCTAATACCTTATTAACTCAAAAAATAAAATATATTATATATATATTTATATTTTTTTTTAAATTGGCGGGCTGACCCGCGGCCCGTCGGGCTTGACCCGCCAAAACCCGCGGCCCGCGCGGGCCGACCCGCTCTTTGGCGGGGCGGGGCGGGGCGGCAAGCGGGCTCAGACCCGTTTTGACAAGTCTAACTATAACTCTTAAGAGTAGACAAATAAAGCGCTGTAAGTCTGTAACATTCCTTAGATGGGGGTTAGGGGTGTATAAGTAGCAAAGAAAGCGCTGCATCATTTCCTTCCTATTTGGACCAAGAGCATGAGAGAAGGAATAAAAAAAAATTCAAATAACAATTGGAACCGCTTCCATTACAATCATTATGGAGCTGGAAAATTGTTTTCATGGCTCAAAATTTCCTTTCAATACAATAAGCAAGTTTCAGCCAGCAGTTATTTCACCCAGTATTCTGTTCAAGGCAATGGACTAAACCGCAATCTTCTAAACATAAAAATAAGAACCCATTACTAATTTGCCATTACATCATTATCTAGCAGGAAAATATGTTCAATGCCTCAACATCTCCAAAAATAAATAATCGGGCTTCGAACATCTGATATTTATCCTTTACAATCGATCGGTGTCTAGCACCATTTTCTTTGACGGGAGCACAACTGCAGCCACCGGATTATTCGGTAAGCCGCCACCAAGATCTATTATCAATCTGTATTCTTCAATGTGCAACTTCCCATGATGACCACTTATCACGATAGTTGGAGTATTCTCTAATTCCTATTAACACGCAATTAAAATATTAAAAAAAAAAAAGGAGGTAATTTGAAGATGTAATTTGTGGGAATAAGCAAAATTACCTGTGGTATATTCCAGACGTTTTTTCTGCCACTAAGAGGTTCTAGCTTAGGGATGCTCGTGTCTTTTGCTTTCAGATAATTTAGCTGCTCGTCAACCCCTTTACCTTTCTCCAAACCGGCATGCACTGCAATCAGTCTACATTTTTGCAACCCGTCTTTGGTTTCTATAGATACACCATCCTAGTAAATTTTAGAAACTTCATCATTAGTGAGTTTCGAAAAATAAAAACCAGTAAGTACAACAAAAATAAACAATAACAAACACACCTCTTCATGTACCCAAACCAAATCAGCAAGAAACTTCTTGTGCTCATCAGGGACTGCCTTCATTAAATCTGCGCCATGCATTAATGTATCTCATCACAATATATTCCATCAAACACCATTTTTCACATTCAAAACGATTCACGAAAATAAGTAAATATATAATAATCCATGTGAATTATTACAGGTTTACTTATGTCATTCTTAAGGGGCTCCAGAAGCTTAAATGAGAGGATTTTTGTTCCTCTCCTTTTCAGTATTCATCACACCAAGCAAGCATGTCACAGTTAATGCAAAACTCAACCCTACAACTTGGAATACGCGAATTCTTGTGTGATTAGGCGGTTCTACATGTCATACCTTTATCAAAAAAAAATGAATACTTATGCTATGAAAAGACATACTTCTATTTATGTTTGGCAGCCAATCAGTAGCTATTATAATAAAATAAAAAACAGAAGGATAATATTATGTCACAAGCCTACACATAAAAGCTCATTCAATACAACCAAACTCAATTTATTTCAACAACTCAGGCTCTATATAAAATCCAATTGACAAAAATAAAAATAAAAACAAAAATTGTGCATCCTAAAGAAGCAATTTTGAAGATAGCCAAGAACAAACTCAACTCAGAAAACCCACATATAAATCAATCAAGATCAAACAAATTCCTAGCACAAATTACCAACAGGCAATCCACAAGAATTCCATACCAGCAGAGCCATGTGGGACCCCATATGACTCGAAGGTCGGGCCCGCATCGTAAATCGAGCCCTTATACTCCGTATTCTTGGCGTGATTGAATCCGGTCATCTTCCCGGCCCATCTCCTACCCTGCAGGTGCATATTCTCGTACCCTGCGCCCCTATACCATCCTTCTCTCTCCTCATTCATCTCGTACTCCTTCCAAGTCGCCGGAAAACCCGACCCGCCTGGCGGGTCCGGCAGAAGCCCTAAGAACGCCGCGAAAGCGAGGTCGTGGTTGCCGCAGAGGAACACGTGGGACTGATTAGGGTATCGCGAGCGCAAGGAGATGAGGAAATCGATCACTTTGCTGGTGTCGGGCCCCCGATCGCAGTAATCGCCCAGGAAGATTATTAGGGCCGATTGGAAATCGGACGGGCCGACGGCTTTCTCTAGGTTGGACCACAGGTTTTGCAGCTTGGTGAGGTAGCCATGGATGTCGCCCACGCAGCACACGACTCTTGGGTTCGTCTGGGACTCGGCATCCGCCATTGGAGTGAGATGCGAGGTCTTGTTTATTTGCAGATGAATTTTGCTGTTATTATTATTATTAGTTTTTTACGTTGGATTTTGGAGTTTATTTTGCTTTTATTTATATTCTTGAATTTAGTGGTCCGAGAATCGATTTATATTCTCGAGCACACAAACTGTTATCTAGAAGACGTTTCGCTAATTATATTCTTGAATTTAGTGGAAACTCCAGTGGTCGAGAATCGATTTATATTCTTGAGCAGTATGCTTTAGTTTGAAGACGTTTCGAAGATGCTTAGGTACAAAACTTATCTAAAAATCTAAACATTTTTAACGTAATTTAACTCAATTCAACTATTATTATTATTATTAATATAATTAAATAATATTAACCAATCATTCTTACCCATCACATCAATCTTAACTAGTGTATATCCCGTGCGATGCACGGAAGAGCTCATATTTTAAACATTTTTTAGATTTTATTTTAAATATAATTATTTATATTTTCACATCTCGTCTATTATGAAAATAAAATAAATACAATCAATAAAAAATATATATTATTAAATACTTTTTTTTTTACAATATTTTTTATTTAAGGAATATTATTAAACCTTACGGTTTTGATTATTTTTATAAATCAATAATCCAAAATATATAATTGTTAACGTACAAAAAATAATGGAAATAATCCAGACTTTAAAGTAAAGCTATTTTTTATTATTTTACAAATAAAAATCTTCCAAATTTTTTTTAATTTCAAAAAAAATTTGACAAGTTTGATAATGAGTTAAATCAAGTTATACAAATGATTAAATAGTTAAAATGTTATATTAATTATATTTTTAAAAATCCGATTATATAAAAATGAGTAAAAAAATATTATACTAATTAGTTTGTTAGGATTGTGATTATATGGAAGTTAAAATAAAATGAAATGTAACAAAAAAATTTGTTCGTGTTCTTTTCCTTTAAATGTTTGAATTTAAAAATCTAGTAACCAAATTTACATTATATCACGTAAGGAAAAAAATAAATAATAAATATTTATTAAGGAGACAAATCAATAATATTTATCACTTAGATAATAAATAATAAATATTTACATGTACAAAAATAAATAATAATATATACAAAAATATACGTCAGAATTTCAAATAAAGTAAAAGGAGGGATAACTCATTTTTTAAAAAAAGTTTCTAAATATTTAATATATTGATAAGTATCTCCATAAGAATAATCATACCATTTTAATTTTAAAAAAATTGGCAAGTTTGTTAGAGAGATAAATTCGGTTAGACAAATGATTAATTTGTTAAGATATTATTTAATTGTATCATAAAAAATCGGTTAGATAATGTAGATAAAAAATATAATACTAATTAGTTGGTTAGAAATGTGATAATGAAAACCAAGATAAAATGAAATTTACCCAAAAAAATTGTTTGGAATCTTTTCCTTTAAATGTTTGAATTTACAAATTTAATACCGAAATTCTATTATATCACATAAGGAAAAAATAAATAATAAACGTTTATTAATATATTAAAATATGTAACTTTGAATTTCATATAAAGTAAAAGGTATGCTTATTCAAATTTACTTTTAAAATAAAAGTTATGACAAATATTTATTGATTTTCTTTCAAATATATTAATAAAATAAAAATATAAATCTAAACAAATTTTGAAACAACCAAAAAAATCGGATTGATTGGCATAAAAGTGAAATCGGATTTGAATGCTAAAATCGGAACACCTTACCAAATTGAATGCTAAAAGATTCGATTTGATTTGTTACCTAATTGCATGGGTTGAAAAAATTCAAAAAAAAAAAATACGAATTGAAGAAGCGGGAAAACGAAATGATTTTTTTCGGATTATTCAAATACTTTTTCTTCTCCGTATTATATAGTAATAGATTCATTATTCATCCACTCACATAATTTTAACTAACTATCACTTCAAATCATTTCACATACTTTTACATCAAATCAACTTTAATTATTTTATTTAAAATATTATTTTAATATACCCACTAACAACTAATCATACCACCTTTTTCAAAATTAAGCAAACCAAACCAAAAAATCCAAACAAATCCAAAAATTTTTATATCCAAACATCTCTGCATTTTGCAATCTAGTTTCGCATTTTAGTATGAGAAAAAATGAAGTAAAAGTTACATTTCCATTATATTTTGAAGTGACTTGTTATGGATTTTAGAAAGTCCTCTTTTACATTTCTCATCAATAGCTTTGAAGTCTGAGGGTTGATTAGATATAAGTTATTTAGATTTGATTAAATGTATTGAATAATTAGAATTAACTTTAAAAAATAATGATTGAGTAATATTTGAGTTAGATTTTGAGTTTTTATTAAAGTAATATTTAAATATTCCTTATTTGTTTAATGACTTTTTATCAAATTTCAGCATTTTGGACTTACTAAAAATAACAATGCTGGCTAGAACAGCGTTTTGAATTGGCTTTAGGAGGAAAAAATTAAAATTGATTTGATATAAAAGTAGAGAGTGGTGATTGAAATTGATTCCTATGTTGCATTAAAAATTTCTAAAAATTTTTCTCTATGTAAAAATATTTCTAAATATCTTCTATTATATATTATGCTATTTATTTAATTTCTTCTGACTTCTTAAGATTACATTATTCAACCATAACCAATTTATGTGATGTGATACTTGCGAGAGAAAAATAGTTGAAGATAGATACAATTAGGCAAAAAATTGTACGAATAACTAATATGTTGTTATTCATTTTAATTTTTCTGATGTATATTATTATAAAACGTCATATAAACTAAATCCACCCCACAATGCTCGCGGGTGCATGTATCAGTCGGTGGTTCACTGACAAAGAATACTCGTCCAATCCATTATACGGGCTAACACCAAGAATAAATCAGTTAAAACCGCAGCAAGAAATGAGATGCTTTATAAAGCAATAATTTTATCATCCGAATAAGGGAAAAACGGGCAAGACAAATGACAAAGAAAGATGCAAAACAATTTAAAATTGGATAGTTTTTATTATTACAAACGATGCAATGATTATTTATCTATCACAGGGTTCAGACTGTTTTTGCTGGCAGTCGTCATCTCTAAGGCACAAAAATCATGAAATGCAGAGTACCAACTGTGATATTCTCACTTCACGCTACAACTTGAGGTATCACTCGAACAGAGGTGCATCGAAAGGAACCTACCTTCTTAAAGCTCCATAATTTCTCGTCATCTACACAGAGAAAATCATCAGGCTTAGCTTCAGTCCTTGTCGATTACAATAAGTGAAGAAATGCAACAAAAAGATAAATGAGCAAATTAGCCAAAGTGCTCTTATGACATGCAGTCCTTCAGTTATCACTTTATCAGTTATTTTTAATCCAATACAAGCTTCAGAGGGGTGTTTGTGTTTTTAGATAATTGGGATTTTTTTCACTAGCCATACAAAAACTGACGGTGATTTTGAATCTCTGAGACAGAATATATAATCAATGAACATAAATAATAATAATAAAAAAAAAAAAAGTGAGCCATAGGAGCTCAAAAATTTATCAGTTACCCGAGGTTGAGACTTTTTCCTCCCCATGTCGTCGTCATCATCATCGTCATCATCATCATTCCCGAGCAGTCTACGAAGTGAAGAAGAAGAAGAGTTGTCTGATTTCCTTCCCCTTTTAGCAGCAGTGGTAGCGCCCCTGCCCCTGCCCCTTCCCCTTGAGGCAGCTCTTTTTTTGCCCTTCCCTTGCAGAGTCTCGTCATCATCCTTGCACGATGAAATCGAATTTTGAAGATACTGTGAGTTTGATCCAAAAAGGGACTAAAGAAATATTACTGATAGCATAAAAAAAAAAAGGAAGTTAGTCCATACTGAGCTGTCGGCAATGTCATTAGCATCGAGTTTAGCTGTCTCATCATTCGAATCCGAGTCGACATCATCATCCTCATCGACCAAACTCCGAACAGAAGCTGATGCCGCAGCTGATGCGGGTCTACAGTAATAAATTTTTCTCACCATCATGAGATTTTTACAGCTTATTTCTCACAGATGAAGGTGTGCTTATTATTCTGGGAAGTAATATTAATAAAAGTGGAATATGGAGCCATGTCCTGGTTAGTAGAAATAAATGCTGCCTTGTGAACCTTAGACAATAGCAGGGCTTTGGGTTTTAAACTTATACGTTAGCATGTACTACGAAATCAGAGAGTGTTATTTTTTTTAATAAAATTGATGCTTCTGGAGTAACAAGTAACTATCCCAAATGTATAGCCTATTATTCATTTTTGCCTGTTTGTGATGTCCCAAATATATAATTGTCATTTCTATATTAAAATTCTCCATTCCGTTTATCTTTACAACATTATCTAATATGCAATTTATGATAATCTTTCTATTCTCTACACCTAACAAAAACACACACATGCCTGAATACCATACTACCATCTAACGCAAAATTTGTACTTCCTCTGTTTCTTTTTAGATGTCGTTTTAATTTAAAACTTCTAAATTACGATTTTAATGGGTTGTGTTAATAATCTTAAATTTTAATCTTATTAAATTTAGTTTTTGAATTATTAATGGGTGGTTTTTAAAGATAATGATAAGAGATAAAGTTTGTTAAAGATAATAAAGTTGTAAGAATGAATATAATATTTCCAACGACAACTAATTTGCAAAAAAGTTGACATCCTACAACATCTAAAAAAAAACAGAGGGAGTATTACATCAGCAAGAAACTGCAGAAGAACATAGCATTAAACTAACCTTTGTGAATGTCGAAAACCCAAGGCCGAATCTAGTGTAGTCTGCTTTAAAGCATTGGAAGTCCTTCCCCTCCCTCGCCCTCTTCCTCTTCCAGAAGCCCTACCTGCTTCCGGAACTTGACGAGAGGACTTCAAAGATTGTGAAGCCTGTTTCCCACCCTTTTTGGTAGATCTTCCGCCAGCGAATGTGGTAGCATCCTCATCATCACTAAAGGAAACAGCACTTCCAACACCTCCGGTACTTCTTCCTCTAATATTCTGCAAGTGTATACTGTATATAGTTACTAAAACCAAATACTTAAGCCTAGCTCGCAAAACAAATTTATGACATTAAACTAAAATACTAAGACAAAACCTCAGAGGACTGGCCACCAAATGTGAATAGATGGGCATCTTTTGGAGTCGAGGCTCTTTCTTTGACACGTTCCTGCAAACATGCGCTTTTATTATCACTAATTTTTTTTTTTTTTTNAGACAATAGAAACCACCTTTCTGATTTGATATCAGCATGCACAATATGGAGGAAGTCAAAATAGTATATATGATCGGATAAGTCCCACAAGCAATAGGGAGAGAACAAGGTCAGGAAGGGAAAATCACGTGTTGTCCTCATGGCCACAAAGTGCTATTTTGGTGGACAATGAGAAAACTAAGTTGACCGACTCTTAACACAAAACAACGTGAACCACTGTTGTTATTAGTAAAGGTGATTCATAATCACATAAAACGTTATAAACTCATGCCAGGTAATAAGTCATTCATCCGTGTTTTTCTGATGATACATCTGCAAGGAGTGCCATATATATTATATGTTCTTACTTTCTGAAATTAGTGGATCAATACATAAAGGTTATATATATTATATATACACGCTACAGGATAACAACACTTCCTCCAATATATGTGAAGCCTATTCTCATGCAGCATTTCTGTTCATGGAAGGAAATGGAGGATGAACGGAAGATTTATTGCCTCTAAACACTCCCCAACTTTGACAATAATATCTTCCTCTTCAAACTTCTGCACATCTGGATCCTGAGCAATTTTACTCTGTTACAGAAAATTCTCAAATTATTGAAATTTCTACCGTGTTAAAACCAATAGAACAATAAGTAGAAACCAGGAAAGTACTCAGTTGATACCATGAAAAATAATAAACTATAAAAACTTACACGAGTTTCTTCGAGGTTGTATTGCAGACAAGAGTGGAAGGCCATCTTGTCATCCTTACTGACAAAATTGTGTAAGGCGACATCCAAATCATTGACAGGGAGTATTTCCATCTTCTGCAATATTTATAAAAAAGTGTATCAAGGTTAGTATAGAAGGACATGAAATTTGCTATTTAGACCATTCAGCATTTTCTCTTGCGCACCTCAGGTTGTCAAGCAATTCAAAATTTCAAATTTAGGTGGCGCAAGGCACTCATTTTGCACTTGACAGAAATGAGGAGCCAAGTTTAGCAAAATTAGGTCTGCTGTCCGCACTCCATCATAATGCAAGAAAATTGAAATTTCAACCACTTCAAGTTATTATAGGCGACAAAAACATATGCAGAAGGTCGATACTTACAAAAAGATCATAAGATATGAAGGCATATCTTACGTTATGCTACAGAAGATCAAAGATATTCAGCTATTTTGAGATCTACTTAATGAAAACTCCTAAATTTATGCAAGAAAAGAATGATGATGAACTATACCAGATTACTTTCAGCAACTAAAGCCTCAATATTCTGCTGATTCAGTTCTTCAGGTCGAAGACGTTCAGATTCATCAATTTTACCTAGAACAAATGAAATTACTAACATGAGTACATCGAAAAACACAAGCATAAACTTAATATCAAATAATAAAGCTCTCGACTGAGTTTCAATACTGGACGGAAGACATTGTGGTATGAAGGAAGGGATGTCTTAGATAAGTTGGGTAATGAAGCACAGACATACCATCACTTTTACCCCTTTTAGCTGCTTTAGAAAATATAAGAATGTCCTGAGGATTTGCTACCTATAATTTACATTTAAATCGTGGAAATTGTCAGCCTTGGAAGTTTTAAATGGATGTAGGTGAGAGTAAATGAATAAAAAACAAAATTAATATAATCCATACCTTTCCGACATACTTTTGTCCAAACCTTTGCGGATTTATAGTCATAAATCCAGAATAATCCACCTATTTAATTTAAAATCAAATAAATAAAATAGAATGAGAAATGGGCCAGACCAGAATGGCAGCAAGAAAGAGCCTTAGTTGGAAACTTAAAGAGGTAAAAACAAGAACAAGAATCACCTTGACTCGAACTAAAGGAAGCTTGAGCTCTGCTTTGTTCGGAACATTTCGGCTAGCCTTTTCTATCAAACTACTTACCTACAAAAACTCAAAAGGAAAATAAGTGGAATGCAGTGGCAAATAACAAAAATAAATAAATAAACAAGAAAAATGTGCAAAATAGAAAAAGGAAACTATGTTCGTGTGTGTTTACAGAATCAGAGTGTACAGATAAAACAAAAGAAAGAAAGCATTCTCACAACTTTGTCCAAATGCTCGAGTATGGAGTTCTGATCATTAGCATCGATATCAGGTTCATCCTTCAGCACTACCTACATACCATATGCTATAAGTAACTGCAAGGTGGTGCTTCTCCACTAAAAAAAAATAAAAAAATAAAAAAATAACAATAATCGCACCTCTGTATACTCAAAAGGCCTTACTTTGTTGAGAGGTATCTTCGTCGGCCGATACTGATTCCCCTAGTTATCAGCAACATACACATTATATTGAATTTATGGATATTGATAAGAACATGAATGAAAAAGTGTAATAGAAAACAAAGAGCTGAGAAGGAAAGTTTTAGGCAATCAACCTTAATCTCTAATAGCAGCACATGTTTTGGCTTCGATTCACCATCAATCAGTGATGTCGCAACGGATGAACCAGGTTGAGTAATGTGAAAACCCATGCCTGGAACTTCCTATTCACCAAACAGCCATCAATCAGACACAGTATAATTAAACAATAAGACCAGTAATGAACTCAGCAGTCCAGTACCTGCGGATCAACGAGGCATTCATGCTCATGCCCCCAGACAATAAAATCCAGAAATCGAGGCAAAAAATGTTCGTTTATTGCATTTTTCGGGTTTGCTTTCACTCTGAAATCAGAACAAAGATATTTTGATTTTATAATTGCAATATTCTTCTGAAAATTTAACAAAAATTATGTGAATTACCAAACAGGTTCATAAAGTTCCTCCGTAATAATCTATTGTGCAACTAAAATGCACTAGTTGTTACCTATTCTGATGAAGTACTAGTATGTTGAACCAGTCTGAAACTTGACAACTTTCCTGGGCCTCCGGTCGCATCCACTGCACAGCATGTGGCGTCTGATTTTCACAAAACAACAGAAATTAGAAAATCCTGTCTAAAAGATTGCATTAATAACCAGAATCAGACAGCTTATAAACCTGAAACATTCGATTCAGGCGTTCGTCTCTGATATTCCCAAGGCCATAAAGAGCTACCGATGTTGAGCCCTACGAAAATGCTGTTCAGAAGTTATTCAAATAAAAATAAAAGAGAAAGAAAAAGAAAAACATTTCAGGCTTCAACTGAATAAGTTTTTCAGTGAAGGGAGTCTCAAGCAAACCTTTTTTATAAGAATTGGGTAGAGAGTGATCTGACCAACACCTGAACCTTCAAGAATCATTTTCCCAAAATAGTTAACTAGATTACATGCTGAAAGAATATCAACTGCAGAAAGATTGTCCTGCAATAACAGTAGACAAGAATAAACAGAGAATAATTTCTAAGATGACAATTGAACTCTGCAAACTAAAACCAAACATAAAAATGAAAACGAAATATCTAACACACACACATGCATGCATATTAGATAAGAATCAATAAATTTTAGATCTTACAAATAATTATTTCGAATTCGTACGCACAAAAAAGAAGTGCCTGGTGTCTCTAAAACAAATAGAAATTACATTTCTGTAGTAGCCATAAAGAGAAGCTTTTCAAATATGATATAAGGTCAAGCTTTTCATTTGCTCGCAGGTGCCAATAAACAACACGTCATAGTTCATTGATACAAGCTCAGCCTTTTACCAGAGAAATCATACCACGCCAGCGGGATCATCGTGATTTCCATGGATGCTGAAAACTGGCATCCCGACATTGAAGTGAGGATCTTCATAGTTCACTTGGCCAAAGCTACAAAAATAAACCAAAGCCATGTGAAAACTTCAGAAACGACACCGTACAAGGGGAAAAGGGATATATGCTTTAAATGGACTCGGGACTGGAGGCTAGAATTTACAGGACACACTCTACAACAAAAAAATATTCTTAATAGTCTTCAACAACCAAACTTAACCAGGTTCGCAGTGTCAGGAGCCATATATTGTAAAGTTCTTTTGGCAGATGTCCATAAAGATAACCGGCAATCAAATCAATCAAGATGAGAAAAAATCGAAAAAGGCTTCATTCAAGAAAATAACTAGTATCAATTGAGATAAGGACAGCTCGTTTCTAAGAATTAGAGATTACGAGTTTGCAAAGTTCATTGTCTGATCACTGACGACTTGAAACTGAACCGGTCGATCGTTGAGACAGTGGCGACGGAGGATTTCAATAGCTTTGACTAAGGTCGACCTTGAAGGCTTGTTCTCATGAAAAAGATCGCCCCCAAGGAGTATAAAGTCCACCTAACCATTTCAAATATGTAAAATGAGGTAAAGGTAAGATAGACTAGTTAATAGATCCAAAAGAACGTTTTCCAGAGAGAGCGGATACGGGAAAAGAAAAAGGTTTATCTGGGTGAGGCACGCTTGAATGAAAAAACAAATATTCAAAATAGTCTATACAATCCATGTGTGCTTTTAAAAAATTCAAACATTCAGTTGAACTAGATAAGTGTATCCAGTCTGAATTATCAGGTACAGATAATAAAAGATAATAACAATATGAACATCAAGCAAAACTGAAAGTAACGGAACTGAAACCTATACCTGTTTTTGCTCAGCTATGGAGCAAATCTCATCAAACGCCTGAAACGAATCATGCCGGCGAATTTCATCCTTCTCCATATAACCAAGATGACAGTCCGTAGCTACTAATATTCGAAGCATATCACTTGTATCTTCCCTGAACATTCAATTAACCAAAAAAAATATGCAGGAACCAAGTTCACCAAAGAAAAAAGAAGCAAAAATTGCAGTTACGTCTGAAACAATGTCAATGAATCAGTATTTCACTCACCTTGAAGATTCAGCCATTTCGTACTAAACAGACTTTCACTGCTTATGCTGCAGACACCAATAAAAAAATACAAAATAAAAGATAATAATCTAATATTAAAGACCTTTTGCACACACATATGGTAGTGTCAGTCAATAATTCCTGAAAGAAAAAATGGAACAGTATAAACTATGAAACCCTAACTCCGATATGCAAACCGTCAGAATCATAGATTTTATTTGACTAAGATGGAGAAACACCAAGGCAGGTACTGTATTACATAAAAGGAGACGTGCAGCTACCTTGACGAGATATTGAAGTGGCGGAGGAGATGATTAAGAAGTAGTCGGCTGAGCAGCTGAGTGGCGGAGTAGAGTGGCCGTAGCCCGTCGGCGGTGGCGGGGATTTTTTAAAAATTATAAATAAATATCTATTTTATGAAAAATCGATTTTCTCCTTCGCAAAACAAATCGTTGTCTATAAGCGTTTTATAAACTGTAATAAGTATACTGAAAAACAAACAAAAATAAAAAATAAAAAATAGAAAAGTGCAAAAATGATGTGAGAAGAAATTTTCCATTAATTTTATTTTTTGTTTTTTATTTTTATTTTTTTTTTATTTTTTGCGACTGTCAGCCCCCACCTAACGGTCGAATGAATCCACACCCAGAGGTGTGAGACTAATCCTCCAGGAAAAGAAAAGTGAGGTGCCTATCTCCACTAAGAGCATCTCCAATGATGGCTGTGAATTATAGTCCACGAGGCAATAAAATAGAAAGTTTTCTCTCCACGTGGGCTGAATAGAATAAATCAGTCTCCAATAGTTAATGTTTGTACAGAATAAATATCTATACACGTGTTTTTATATACCGACTTTTTCCTTTTGGTCGTTTTAAATACACAGACTTCTTCTTTGTGCTGTTATAAAAAAGTGACAGACCTTTTTCCTTTTGTAGTTCTAAAAAAAAATGGATACACAACTTCTTGTGTTGTTATAAAAAGTGGCAAAAAATTTGCGGATTTATATATTACACCCTTCGTCGATTTAATTATTTTCAACAACATATATTTATATATTACACCCTTCGTCGATTTAATTATTTTTAACAACATATATTTATATATTCCACCCTTCGTCGATTTAATTCGTAGTTTCAGAGTGATCTTTGGTGAATTTAATTCATAGGTTGAGAGTGAATATCGACAAAGTATGCCTTCATTTTGAATTTGCTATCACCCATCTACACATTCATCCATATTTTTTTGTAAGAACATCTCCATATATTTTAAGAACATCCCCATCGTTGATATTCATCAGATATTTTACATTCATCGGTATTTTTTTTGTATACCATTAAATTTATAATATAGTTTTAGAAATGTATCAACTTTTTTCATTTATATTTCTTTACGTAAATTAAGTTGCTTTTTGATAGTGTGTACAAAAAATTTCCCGTGCAATTACCCTTTTTTCAACTTAATTATAATTTTTAATTACAAATAAAAGATAAATAGGAGCAAAAATAGTGACTCAACATGTCTAACAGAGCCTTGAGATGTGGAAAGAGTTCCAGAATTTTTAAACCTCTCTCATGCCACATCATCAAAAATAGAAGCAAATAATTCACCGTTGGAGAAGTCTTTCCTAACACTGCCTCTAGATTTCTGCAATTGAAGCACCGTTGGAGATGCTCTAAGCTAATGGACTACATGCGCTGGGGCCATTAATTTTCAATTAATCTATAGTTCCTTTTTTTCTTTTTATTTCAGGTTAACTATTCCATTAATTTACAGTTGAGACTTAGGAGTTGTTACAAAACTGTTTTCGTGAATATGTGTATTTTAATATACAAATGAAAACTCATGCGTGAAAAAAAAAAAGTCACCTAACCCAATTTTTTCTCTATGTCCAGTTTTCCCCAATTTTTTCTGCGAGAAGCCCTAGCCCATCAGAGCACTGCTCACCTTCTCCAGCGGGCTGCCAAGCCTCGACGACGGCCGCCCTTTGGCTGCGCGAGTCAACCCTTCTGTTAATACCAAAACCGGATTCCGCAGATTAAGAGCGTTTTCGAATAGATTTAAGAAGAATTCAGAGTTAATTATTAGAAGGCCGAGGTGCGATGGAGATCCTCGATGTCGTCTTGATAACTAATCGGCATCTCGGTACTACCACCTCGGTTTCCAAGACGAACGAAGCAAGCTCCCAAGATCGCCCCATCATTAAACAAATGACCTTGGGATTGCCATCTCAGATCTAAAAGGGTTCTTTGGGGAAGGACGTCGCAGGTTAACAGACCTGTGGGACAACTGACGTCCAGAAAATTCCAACCTCGACCCGACAGAAGTGACGCCTGTCACTCAGTAAGAGGGGCACCCATGCTTTCGTCATTACCTAAAAAGTGTGCTAACGTCATTGCCGCCCCTAAAACATCAAATCCGCATTAAATATAACCGACTTCTCTTGGAAGGTATGCCAGACGTAACTATAAATAGCAGCATTAAAATCGATACGAGGACCAGGACCAACATAATAAATTCACGCATTTATTACCTCGGCTTCCTCTGTTTCTGACCTCCTGTACTAAAATACCGACTTGTTTGAAACTGTAATCCACCTCATAAAATTCAATAAAAATCATATTTGCTGCAATTCTTGTTGTATTTTAAATCTTAATTACGTTGATTTAATCCGTTTATCAACACCTTCTATAGCCGATGTCGTTCTTCTCGTGCCAGGTGGTTTGGACGGTTGGACTCGTAAGGTCTTCGTTGTTTTCCTTGGTCGCTTTTTGGGTCGTTGGTCGTCGATCTTCTGGGTGGTGTGGTGGCGGAGGTTCTGCGGGGTTGGGTTGCGACACCGACGATCTTGTTGTGGTGGTTGGGTCTGAGGAGAGTGGACTCTATCCTCTGTCCCTTTTATCTCGGGTGCGTGGGTCGAGGGGACTGCCGACGTGACGAGTCGGTCCCGTGGTATGGGCTAGACTCAGAGCGGTGGTGTTGTGGTGGGGGTTTTGTCCAGTTTTCTTCGGGTAAAGGGTGGGATCGGTTGCTTGGGCGCTAGTTCGAGCTCGTGGGTGTTGGTCCTAGTTTGGCGAGTGCTGCAGTTTCTGTTTCTAAGACTAGGGGCGAGATCCAGTCCGTAGAGGCTGTTGGCTTTGTGTGTCGTGGTTGTGGTTTGCTTGGCGTTTTTGTCCGTCTGC